TGGGAGCAGAAGAGGGGCGAGGGAGGGGTGCTATGGTACTTCGGGTGATGGCAGGAGTATGCAGAATGGGGAGCCAGGGCCTGTACAGTGAGGATGAGGGACAGTCTTGGCCTTCTCAGATCCTGATCAGGAAAAAGAAGCCCTTTGTCGAAGAGTACAGCAATCGGGAGGGTCTTGGAAATGAGGTGGGTTGATGGAGGGTGCCAGGGTCTTGGGGAGGACTCCAGGTTGCCCTGAGCCAGGTCTACACATTCTTAGTGATAGACCAAAACTGGGGCGGGGGATAGAACCTAGAAGCTCGGGGTCTGGTTGACCCTCCTTCACTCTCTAGCTGTGCAGCCCGGGGCAAATTTGTCCCTCTCTGGGTCTGTTCATCGGTAAGATCTGCTAGACTCCTAAATTCCGAAGACTCTTTCAGCTCTGGTATTCTCGTTCTGTCAGCTTGTTCCCCGGGTCTCAACAGCAGAGCTAGTCTCCCCAAAAGGACAAGAGCTTGTGGACACAGGGGCGGGGGCAGGGGTGGGGCTCTGTGTGTGTTGTGTGTTCTCCATAAGCTGTGATCTCACTTGGAGGAGGCTGAAGTAGGGCAGGTAGAAACAACAGCCTAATTCAGAGCAAATAGGGACAATTAGCCAGGCCCCGGGGAAGGGTTTTGAGTGACCCTGTGTCTCCCTTGCCTCTTTTGTGCTTCCTGTCCTCTCCCATACCTGTTCCCATCAAGTGATGCAGAATCCTAGTAACTAAGCTCTGCTCCTTGGAGGATGCCACGGAACCTCTCTGAGCCTCCGTTTCTGCATTTGGAGATGTTAAAACTGACCCAGAAGACTGGGTGAGGAAACTGCTTGTATGAAAGGTCCACCAGCATCGTGCCCTCTTTCAGGCTGGAAAAGAACAGCTGGTACTTATGTCCCCCAGGTCCCAGGCAAATGGTCAGTGGTGCTTTGCCCCGGGCGCTGGTGTGGGGTGAGGCCTTTGGAGGGACAGGCTGATGCAGGTGTTGGATGGGAGCTCCTGATAGAGAAGCATGGCTCGAGCTGTTCTTGATTGCCACTGAGATGGCCGCTCAGCCCATAAACCTGTTTATTGTGTTGTTATGGAACCAGAGCTGTCTGCAGTTTTTCTTTGGGGGTCCAGGATTGAGACTGGCGGCTGGTTAGGAAGCAGACAGAATGGCCAGGCCTGTTCATTCACAGTGGATGTTCCTGCCACTCTTTTGAGCCTGGTTCATCCGAGGCCCTCAGTTTCTAATCTGGTTGGGAAGGATTTATTTTTGGGTCCTTGTAACCTAGCAATGGGCTCACATGACCAGTGGCAGCTGCAGGCTGAATATACTGTTGGATCTCGGCTCCTGGCAGGGGGTGTGGGCCAGACTGTGGGGGAACAAAAGGAATGGAAAGGCTCTCACCTCTGCCCAGCCCCCTCCAATGGGGGCAGGGGGAGGTGGATGCCTAGGGAGCAAGCACGTTGGTGCTGATGCTGCTGGGTCTCTGGACAGCTAAGGCCTGAGCCACCGTGGAGAGGGCCCAGCTGACAGCCTGCTCTTGGGGTGTCTGCGTTGGGATGGAATGACTGGGTGCCCAGTGGATGGAGATGGATACAGAGAGGACACAGTGCTGGCATGCTGGGGTGAGGCCAGACAGGGGCACAGGTGGCTTGAGAGGCACTCTGTATTTAGTAATGAGATCTCAGGGACACTCCTGGTACTTGCTGTGCCCCCCCAGCATTTTGCTCCCTCCCTTTGTTTCCTGTTAAATTGTTAATATTCCTCGGAGAGAGAACACATGAAGCTGCTCTCTGTGTGAATGGATTGATCAAGCTCTGTCCTGAGCAGATTTTGGCAGAAGGCAGAGGGGTGGGGAAGGACGAGAGGGTACCACCAAGCAGGAAAGGCACTTCAAGGAGGTCCAGAAAGCCACTTAACATTTACTGAGAAAGGATGCACAGCTGAGAGATAAATCTGCTCAGCTTCAAGGTTTCATCCCGGGCAGAAAAGGGTGGATGGGATGGACAAAGCCTCTCAAGAGGTGAGGGTAGGCAAAGACGGGATAGGGCTCTGTTGAGTTCCCAAGGTTCCACCTGACCCTCAAAAGAGACATGGCACTGTGGGGAGGGGGTCTTCCCCATCCCGTGACAGGGGTCCCGGGTGTGCCCACTGGACCAAGGGCAGCTGGTGGGGTTTAGAAGACCATGTCCAGTTTCTCTCCCTTGGTCTTCTCTCCTCCTCCTTTGTGCTGGGGAAACCGAGCTGGGTGTAGTGTAGTCTCAACATCCAGAAGGCTGAGGCAGGAAGATCCCACATATAAGGTTAGCCTAAGCTACAGTGCCAGGCGTTTTCTCAAAAACAAACAAACAAACAAACAAACAGGGGTTGGGGAGTTAGCTCAGTGGTAGAGCTCTTGCCTAGCAAGCGCAAGGCCTTGGGTTCAGTCCTCAGCTCTGAAAAAAAAAAAAAAAAAGAAAGAAAAAAAAGAATGCTTAAAACAAACAAACAAACAACCCTCAATGAATGGATTGGAGTAAGGGTGTGAGGTCAGCAGCTACTCTGACCCTCACTGAATAGACCTCAGGAGGTCACAGCAGCCCCTTTACTGATGGCATTGCTGCTGTCCATTGCTCCAGCCTTAGGCAGTTTCTTCCCCTGCCCACCGGTCCTTTTCCCTCTCCCCTGAGCCAAGATGGCTTCCAGCCTCTGGGAAGATGAGTTAGAACCCACCAACTCCTTCATACCCCTCTCCCCAGTTGCTTTTTAGTAGAAGTTCATGACCTTGCCCTTGACCCCACATCAGCTTATTGGCCAGCCATAATAACTGTACTAGCTCCCTGGGAAGCATACTCTGTTATTATAGCCTCTGTATCCCCATTAGGGACACTGGGGAGTGAGGAGTTTTGCACTTTTGACATATGGAAAAACTAATGCATAGCCAATTCGGAAGCTGAGGTCTTACTTCTGACCAGCAGAGTACATCCAAAGATGAACCATGGTTTCCTGGCCTGTCTAGTGCCTTTGTCGATATTTCTGTTGTAGAGATCCTGTCTGCTCTAGCAGATCCTGTCTGCTCTGGATCCCTGGAAGGGCTTCTGGGCCTTGTGTTGATCTGTGCCTTTGCCTCGAGTGTCCCATCGGGGTTCCAGAGAGACCATGAGACTGAGGAAGACTGAGAAAACATTTTATCTTCAAACAGGCTAGGGTTCCAATATTGGCTGTATTTGGTCTGGAGAAAGTCACTTCACCTCATGCCCTCTTCTCCACAGAGGTAATTTGTGCCTTAAACAGTGGCATGAGGACTGAAGGTGTTATAGGTCATGAGTCTGCCACTCATTAAGAATTCAGAGATAGAGACTGGTGGTAGCTGAGATCATTTACCAGCTTTAGGGAGTCAGTTCTCTTGGCCAGCCTGGCTGGGTGGGGGGGCACACACCTTTAATCCCAACACTTGAGAGGCAGAGGCAGGAGGATCTCCAAGTTCGAGGCCAGCCTGGTCTACAGAGCAAGTTCCAGGATGTTACACAGAGAAACCCTATATCAAAAAAAACAAAAAACAAAAAACAAACAAACAAAAAAAAAACATAAAAAAGTCACCTTGTCCTTCTGAGTCTCTTAGGTGGGTAAGTCACTGGTTTTATGCATTGTCTAGATCTAATAAACAACTCTAGAATTCCCTTGGAGCCAGAAGGAGGTGTTGAATATGCAAGTGACTTCCCACGAGGCTCTGGGGGCAGCTCCAGATCTGATCTGAATTTCCTCTCCAGGTTTGCTATGTGGGGTGTAGACTTGGAGCAATGTCCTCACCTCCATAGCGTGCATGCCTTGGGCCCGAGGGTTGGCTCAGCAGTTAAGAGCACTTGTTGCTCTTACAGAGGACCCAGGTTGGGTTCCCAGCACCCATATGGTGGCTCACAACCATCCATAATTCCAGTTTCAGAGGATCCAACATCTTCTTCTGACCGCCACGGGCAGCACACAGGTGGTACATACACACACACACACACACACACACACACACACACACACACACACACACATAAGCAGGCAAAACACCCATACACCTAAAACAAAGCTAAGAGAGAGAAAATATTGAGTTCATATTCTGTGGAAATCATAAGCTGCCAGCCATTAAGCACCTGTCCTTGCTGTCAGTCACTGACAACGTTCTTCAGGGCTAGCAGGAGGCCAGACCCCGAGTCTCCTTTCTGAGGGTTTGTCAGGCAAGGTGGCAGGCACTCTGTGAGTGATGCTCTCAGCTCTGTCCAGCCCGACAAACACAGACCAAACTGAGCCTTCCTGAGAGTCTGCCTCACGGAGCAGAGGGGGGAGTGGATGTGTGGAAGGTAGTTTCAGGAGAGACTAGATTCCCATCTCCATTAACCCTCACAGCGTCATTCCAAATAAACACACAGTGTAAGAAAATAATAGTGAGTGCTTTGGATGGGGATAGGTACAAGGTCATGATAGGGTCTTTGACTCCTCCTCAAATCCCACTGCTACCCCTTAATCTGTCTGCTATACAAATTTGTCACTTTCTGAAGGAGTCAAACCATGAAGCTGCCTCAGGAATCTCAGCTCTTCAAAGGCCTAGCCTTGGAGTTCTGGCTGTGTATGGACCTGCCCACTACAGAAGCACCTTGGTTCTGGTATCATACAGAACCATGCAATAAATAATAAGGATGTCAGAAACCTCAAGGATCATCTACCCTATAATCCTATTGAACAGATAAGAAACAAAGGCCAAATGGAAATGACTGGCCCAAGGTAACTCAGCTATTAAGTGCCCAGGACTTTTTCTTTTTCAGGACGATTGGGAGGGTTTCCCCTTCCTGTTTGCCCATGAGCTGGCTCCTGGAAGCTTTTGAGATGCAATCCAGAATCCCGAGAGAAATATGAGGGATGGGGCTTCCTGAGCACTCTGCCGGGGAGCCCGGAGGCCCAGCTGTTTGCTCCAGAAGTGGCTCTAAGGGGCTGGTGGAAAGAAGGAGGTCGCTAGGACCCAGAAGCTCTCTGAGCATCCTGCTCTGCTGGCTGCCTCTCTCCGCTCACTGCAGTGGTTCAGGCTTCAGCAGCCTTGGAAGAGCATCAGCTGAGAGGAGCTATCACATAGGAGCTGGGAGATGCTCAGCAAAAGGTAGGAGCTGCCCCGACTAGGCCAGGGATGGGGGCCAGACCCCGGGCCTGGTGATGAGCGCTGCCTCACCTCACTGAAGGGCGGCATTCCAAGGGGCAGCCCACCCTGCTGTATGGTGGGCAGTTCTGTCAGAGGATGGGCTCCCAGGTGTCCCAAAGGTAGTATTGGGATGTGGGCATCTTTAAAGCCTAGAAGTGGGAGATTGATCGTCTCCTACTGGCAAGAGTAACTACATCCTGCAACAGACAGCATTCTGTCTGCTTTGCTCTGTGTCATAGAAATAGGTCTCCACATCCTAGGAATAGGCCCTTCAGCATTCCAGGATGATGGGCATCTGAGTCCTGGGCGTGGGCAGCTCGGCTAGGGAGAGGTGTTGAAGGTCCCTGGAAATCTCCCCTGGCCTAAGAGGGCCATATTCTTGTCTGAAGGCAGGCCCAGTGCTGATCCTCGGCACAGAAGCTCTGGATGTGAGAAACAGGTACATGTGAATCCCAACAACACCTCTGTGGCCTTGGGCTAGGCACGTGTGCATATCCTACATCCTGAAATGAGGAGATCTGTCATTTGATCCTGGCCCTGCCAGAGACCAGACCTCAGACCCTAGACTGGCAGAGCCTTTCAGGTTCTGAAAGGTCTTGGAGGTGATGCTGAAGGAAGAAGTGGGAGGATGCGAGCATCTGTTGAGGTAGAAAGCGTGATGACATGAGTTAGGAGTGGAGTCAGACTCCTTGGATTCCCCCTATGAAGCCATTACACCACCGCCCTCCCCTCCACAACCTCCTATCAATGAAAGAGTACCAAGTAGCCAAGGATATTGGTCTGTCTGTTATGTGGTAAATTGGAATCCTGGAATTTGAAGTCACTGTAGAAATTTTGATAAGACTGGAGGGGAGGGGGCTTAAGAGAGAAAAATGCTCAGTGCTTTCCTGCCCAAGGCTCCATCATGGCTGCAGAGCATCCCTACGTGTCCATGTGTCCACAGGAAAACCATGTCCGCTCTTATCAGTCTGGGACTGTAGCTAGGTCTTGCTGGATTGGTATATCCTGCTATCCATCTACAAATAGTGGATTCTTTCTCCTGTAGGTACCACATCTTTTAGGCCCCACTCCCAGGTAGAATGGATATGGAGAGTAAAGGGTAAAGACGTATCCTCTAGGGTTTCTTTCAGGCATTTTTTTTTTTTCCTGGTAGACTGCCTTATGAGAATCTGACATCTCCCTGGAGAGAGGCAAATCTCTAGGCAGTTGTCCAAAGTTAGGGAAGCTGAAAATCCAGGAGCCTGGGCTATCCTCTTCAGAAGAGAATCCCCTGGCTGGCACACAGATGACTGACTGAATATTTCGGGAGTTTGTACTCTGGGGCCAGGATCCAATTAACCAGTTTGAGTCTGATTCAACTCACAAGGATCGCACTGAACACCTAATGCATGGATGGCACCTGAGAAGTTGGATTAGCGTGAGGTTTATGGGGCCACCCCAGACCTATGGTGATTGTAAAGCAACTTTGAGAGAAGCGAGGCTCTGGCAGGCTGTGTGGTTCTCCTCACTGCAGTTATAGAACCGATAGGTTTGTTTTTATGGGGAGCAGCCGCCAGGTGCTCCCCATCCCAGGAACTCACGGAGTAGTAAAATGCTCTATGTAGGAAGCTGGATGGTTTTCTAGTCCACTCCTCCCATTTTACAGCTGCAGAAAGTGTGGCCCAGAAAACTTTTAACTTGTTTACAGAATGGCCATCAGACTTCCCATGTCTGTGGCTTGTCTTAAAGCTGTGTAACTCAGCGTACTGTGTTGCTACATACATACATATACATATATATACATACATACATATATAAACACACCCTGTGGACAACCTATTTCAATTATGTACAAACTTAATGTGAATAATGACACATAAAACAGATGCAACCTGTCACTTGCTCGGGAGATATGGGAGGTGCTGATTTAGTCTGATCTTCTCTCTTCTATGTGTACCTAATTCTATAATCAAGGTCCTCTACCCTGCCCCCCACACCTTCACCCTTTTCACTGGGCATTCACTCTCTCACCCTTTGTTCCGTGACCACAGGAGGAGGCCAGAACCAAAAGGGCTTCAAGGTGAGCTGCTCTCCCTCCACCAGCCAGGACATAGCAGCAGCCATCCCAAGAAGCTCAAGAGCAGGTAGCTGAGCGGGGCAGTGGTGGTGCACTCCTTTAATCCCAGCACTCAGGAGGCAGAGGAAGGCGAATCTCTTGAGTTGGAGGCCAGCCTGGGCTACAGAGTGAGTTCCAGGACAGCCAGGGCTACCCAGAGAAACCCTGACTCAAAAACAGAACAAACACACACAAAAACCAAAGAGTAGGTAGAGAAGGACAGCTTTCAAGTGGCGTGTGCCCACTGGCTTGGGCGCTGAGGAGCAGATGAGCTGGCGTTCCTTGCACCTGGGCATTCTGCCTTCACTGCAGCTTCCTCGTTATTCCCAGCCTGGCAGCTCTCTGATTACAGCACAGTTGTCCTTTATAGGTGATAGCCTTAGAGTGGTGAGAGGCATGAGGGTCTGTTCACCTTCAACAATGACTTACCGAACACCTAGATTCTAGTCCGTGGGGAGGCGACTTTCCTGCAGAGAACAGCAGAGTAGGCAAAAGAACTGTCCCTGGAGCCAGTCTGCCTTAACTTGTCTCTCCTGTGTTGTGTGGCTTTGGGTTCTCTAGGCTGCGTGTCTATCTGTGGAGATCATACTGTCTCAGAGGATCGATCGTGTGAGGATGAAAAATGAGTTGATGAGCATGGAGTGCAGGGGACGGGGCCTGGCCTGGGCAGAGCACCATGTAAACATTATTCCATGTGATTAGTGTTGCTATTAGGCAACCAAACCAGACCCGGTGAACAGTTACGGAGTAGGTGTTATTCCTTCCTTTAACAGATGCCTTCTTGAGGAAACTGGAGTCCAGAAGAAGTTGCAGAGTGAGTAATGCCCAGACCTGGAACTAGAAGCTGAATCTTATTCTCCTACTCCCCATTCTGATGAAAACTCAGAAAGTTCACACAAGCTACCCTAAAGCCAGGGCACTGTCCTAGAGCTCAGCGGGACCCTGGAGAAGGGAGACAAAGGATTTAGAATTGCCCTCAAAAGGGAAGAAAAGCATGGAGAACTAGAAAAGGAAGTGGGAAGAGAGGTGCCAGAGACCACTTGCAAGGTGGCACACAGCAAGTATGTGAGGATCAGTCTCTTGCCTGTCGGCTGGCTGCTACCATCACCGGGGCTGACCCTGGGGCTACCTCCCGACAGAAACTGGACATGAGCTCCTGAGTTCAGAGCTGCCTGGCCTGGCACCGGCACAGAGGAGCCCAGCTTGGAAGGCTGGTGATCCTGTGGAAGGCCCCCCACGAAATCGGGAAGCCTAGGCCTGGGCTTTACATCCCAGGGCTGTGGAGTAGGATGGGGGATGGGCCTGTAACAGGAAGTGCCCTGGGTGTCCTCTTTCGGCCCCATGGAGTCCTCACCCATTCCCCAGTCATCAGGAAACCTGTCTACTTTGGGAAGAGCCCTTCAAACCCCAGGTCCCTCTACTGCCAGCGGGGTCCCAGAGCTGGGACTTCAGGACGTGGCTTCCGAATCTGTGGCCCTCTTCTTCATGCTGCTGTTGGACCTTACTGCCGTGGCTGGCAATGCGGCTGTGATGGCTGTTATCGCCAAAACACCTGCCCTCCGAAAATTTGTCTTTGTCTTCCATCTCTGTCTGGTGGACCTGCTGGCGGCTCTGACCCTCATGCCCTTGGCCATGCTGTCCAGCTCCGCCCTCTTTGACCACGCGCTCTTCGGGGAGGTGGCCTGCCGCCTCTACTTGTTCCTGAGCGTTTGCTTTGTTAGCCTGGCCATCCTTTCGGTGTCGGCCATCAACGTGGAACGCTACTATTATGTGGTCCACCCCATGCGCTACGAGGTACGCATGACATTGGGCCTGGTGGCCTCCGTGCTGGTGGGCGTGTGGATAAAGGCCCTGGCCATGGCTTCTGTGCCGGTGTTGGGAAGGGTCTCCTGGGAGGAAGGAGCCCCCAGTGTTAACCCAGGCTGTTCTCTCCAATGGAGCCATAGTGCCTACTGCCAGCTTTTTGTGGTGGTCTTTGCTGTCCTTTACTTCTTGCTGCCCTTGATCCTGATCTTCGTGGTCTACTGCAGCATGTTCCGAGTGGCTCGTGTGGCCGCCATGCAACACGGGCCGCTGCCCACGTGGATGGAGACGCCCCGGCAACGCTCCGAGTCTCTCAGTAGCCGGTCCACTATGGTCACCAGCTCCGGGGCTCACCAGACTACTCCACATCGGACGTTTGGGGGTGGGAAGGCAGCAGTGGTCCTCCTGGCCGTAGGGGGGCAGTTCCTGCTCTGTTGGTTACCCTACTTCTCTTTCCATCTCTACGTGGCCCTGAGCGCTCAGCCCATTTCAACGGGACAGGTGGAGAATGTGGTGACCTGGATTGGCTACTTCTGCTTCACGTCCAATCCTTTTTTCTATGGATGTCTCAACCGTCAGATCCGGGGCGAGCTTAGCAAACAGTTCGTCTGCTTCTTCAAGGCAGCTCCGGAGGAGGAGCTGAGGCTGCCTAGCCGGGAGGGCTCTATTGAGGAGAATTTCCTGCAGTTCCTCCAGGGGACTTCTGAGAACTGGGTGTCCAGGCCCCTCCCCAGCCCCAAGCAGGAGCCACCGCCTGCTGTTGACTTTCGAATCCCAGGCCAGATTGCTGAGGAGACCTCGGAGTTCCTGGAGCAGCAACTCACCAGCGACATCATCATGTCCGACAGCTACCTCCGTCCTGCCGCCTCACAGAAGGGGGAGTCATGATGGACACTTGGAGGGAAATAAGGCTTGGGGCTGGTTTATGACCTTAAAGACTGTCTTTTCCAGCTGCTGGGGTTTGGGCTGGGGTCTCTGGACTTAGCTTTTGCTTGGTGTTTCCTGGGTCAGGACCAGAGTCAACAGGATGGACATGTGGCAAAAGCCTTGGACTTGGCTATGATCTTTGACTATTGGGGGAGGGGAACCTGGGTATGGTGAGACGATGATGAGAGAAAAGGGTCACAAAGGTGAGGCGAAGCCTTTCTACCAGTGAACTTTTCATGCCTCAGGAAACAGGGGAACTTCCTAAGGGTAGGCATTGGAGCAGCAGGCTAGGAGCAGGGTTATTCTGGGGACCATTAAGGTTTACTTCTTTCTGGTGTAATAGTCCAGTTTAACATTTACATTGAAACAAGGTAAGGAAATAGCCCACATCTTCTCATTTGCTTACTAGGTTAAAAAAAGAACAAAACTGTAGCCAAGTGTTACCATGAGTTCATAGATTCCTTTTTAAAAGTTAATGTCTACGATTTCTCTTAAAGTGAGTAGACCGGTAGGGTGAAGTCTCTCTGGGATTTGGCCAGCAGCAAGGAAAAACTGCAGGAAGGGTAGTGGAGGAGAAGACAGGAACACTCTCTGCAGCTCTCTCCCATTCTGCTCTTCCCTGCAGAGGAGATCAAGTACGGAGATCTCAGCAGAGACAAACAGGAGACAGGCTGCCCCTCCCCTCCCTGTCTCTTGAGTAACTAATAGAATATTGGGGGTCAGAGCTGGGGGGGGGTGTTAGTCTTTGAATTGGTAATTTGGCTGGATACAGAAAGGCCAGGTAAGTTACTCTGATCAATAATACTGCCAATCTTTTCTTTCCAGGACTGGCCTCCCCGATCTCTCTCCTCATGGCAGTGACCCACTTCCAGCCCCCTGGACAATCGGGTACAGGAAGGAGACTAAGGTCGGGCAAGGGGAAGGGTGGGGCTTCCATAGTCTGTGAAATGCCTCCCTGTTCTCGTTCACTGCTCTCAAAATCAGCTTCTGTGATAAAGACTTAATACCTGCAGCCCTAGGTTGGAGAGAAGGCAGATTTTTGGGCTTTGGTGTTTATTGATTATGACTATAGGAACCATATTGGTTAGTATCAGCAATGGTATTTTCAATGGAGAGGGATTCATTGCAAGCTGGACAGGCTACCTATCTGGGACCTCCTGTCCATTCCACTTCCCTGAGCTGACTACCAAAGGGTCAAGGCAGAACCAGAGGGTGATGTAGTCTATACCTGAACAAATTTCTGGTTCATTGAACAACAAAGGGGGAAAGTGTGTTGGGGTGGAGTAGTTTCCCCTTTGGACAACTAATAAATTTTATGATAAAAGTTATATTGATATTAACACTGATTCCTTCAGTTCTATTCAATGCATAAATAGTTGAACGCCAACACTTTCTGGGACACACACAGATGATGTGTGGTCTCTGCCTTCAAGGAGCTCATAGTCTAACTTGATCAAATATTTGTATTTTTGTAGAGCATGTAGGTCTGGTTAAGTAGTACAGTATGGAGACTATATCCATGGTTCTATCTTCTGAGAATTCACTGAAGTGATGCAGAGGCTCCCTGCAGACTGTGACAGGTATGGGAGTGTAAACAAAACTCTCCAGTGAAGAAAACAACCTGCTAAATAAAACTTGGCAAACAGCTTTTTCCCCTTTTGGATTAGGTAAATTTCCAGGTTTCTGTCTTCCTATCTTTTATGTATTCTTCTAGTCTAGTACCTATTACACTGAGGAAATCCCTTAGAAGGTATACACAGCAAGGAGAGTCCTCTCATCCTCAAAAACCATTTCCCTCTCTCTCCTGAAATAAACTCATGCTGAGAAATCTCCTTCCTACTGTATCTTAAGGGAAAATTTTCAGACACTATTAATCCACCAATCAGCTAGTAGACCCAGAAACTGCCAGAAGATGGCAGTGTGAGCCCAGTAGAAACAGGAAAGGCCTGAATGGGTGTGTGTGTGTGTGTGTGTGTGTGTGTGTGTGTGTGTGTGTGTGTTAAACATTGCTTGGCAGCCATTTTGTTAATTTTTTTTTTTTTTACTTTGCCCTCCAATCCTTCACATAAAAGGAAGTTCTAGGTGCAATGATAGTTCTAATTCATACTGAAATAACCTGACACTGAGATCTTGCTGCCATTAACTAGTAAGTTTGGCATATAATCATTCACTTGCCTTTTTTTTTTTTCCTGGCCGTGTGGAACAGATAATAAAGGAAATAAAACTTTCCTTTTTATTATGCAGAGAACTTTCTCCACAACTTTTGCTATAACTTACTTTCCAGGAATTTTCTAGTCACCAAGAGGTATTGGTAAAGTCCAATATACAATCCTTAGCTCTTGAAAGGTGTTCCTGGAGCAACAGGATGAGACCATCATCCTGTCAGTTACTGTTGCCTACATCCTGGTGTTGAGGTGACTGCCATCCTAGATTAAAACAAAAACAAAAACCTTAGACTTTCTGTTGTCAGGTGTCCCCCCAGCAATACCTTCTAGAGGCCTGGTAGAAAAGGTTAAAATCAGGTCAATGTACTTCCTGTGTGGACGGGGGAAAGCTGCTTAATTTCTCTGAGCCTATTTCCTCATCTGTGACAATGGGGATCAATATTACCTACCTCACAGGGTTGTTGTGAGGATTGAGATGAGACATGGCAGCACCTAGTCATACCTGGCAAATAGGTATTCAATAAATGTGTTTCCCTCTCCTTTTGCCCTTTTCCCCCGGAAGTGGTCATAGAGGAAAAGCAGCCTCTTTCTTTTTAATGGTCATTTGGAAATGATTGGGGTACTTTTCAGACTTGGACTGATAAGCATTATGGTAAAGTGGATGAGGTTAATCTCCTAATTAAATGGTTCTAATTAATTAATTTTCACTGTACAGACCTTTCTGTTGGGGACTTGTACTTAAAGTTTAGGTTCAGCTAGAGAAATACATTTTAAATTCCAGGGAAAGATTTCAATGGCTGCAAAAAAACACATGCCCTTTCCTAAAAGTGGTTGAGAGTCACTGTGGGACTATTTGGCAGAAAAGGTATTTTAGGATTACCTTTAGTAATGTTATGATTTATTTACAAATCTTCAGGCTATACTAGAGAGACAACTTTTACTAAACTCCCCTTTTCTGTGGTTATCATATAGGAACTCTCGTTAAAGAAGGATGCACTGGTTGGCTTCTGGGCATGGGACTAAGTAGAGCCCTTGGTTTATATTGGAGAAAGGGAAGCATGGAAATGTTGAGTGAACTAAACCTGTTTTCCATGTTCTATTATTTGCTAGAAGTCGAGTGATCCTTTGTCAACATAGGAGTGCCAGGCAAATGTACAGCTCACAGAGATTCATACGTTGCAGCCGAAGGACTAAGACATACTTAAGAGCAGGAGGAAGCCCACTCGTAGGCATCATGGGTGTAGCGCCAGGCATAGACGGAACCCAGGCTGGGCGGTGTGTCCCATTTCAAAGATCAGACTGGGACAGCTTTGGCTGAAGTGTCCAACACTCGGCTTTGGGCAGAAATTCGGGCTCTACAATCACAGATCAAAAGGGTTTTTCTGGCCAGGGAGGCTTTTCCCAAGTTCAATTTCCAGAGGGCTGTAAGCTCTTCTTTAGGAATCCGGTTCTCACCACCAAACCTTCTGGGCGACCTCAAGAGGACACCGCGAGCTGGAAGTCCCTCTTTTTCTCCACGTATCTAAGCCCGAGAGCCCAAGAAGTAAACGAGTACTAAGGCTAGGAGGTGCGGCGCGACGGATCTCCATCCCTCCACGGGAACAGCCGGTCCCGCGGAGACTTCCGCTTTCCGCACCCCGTTCGCTTCCCACCGCCACCGCGCTCTAAGTGGTAACGGCCGCTGGGCGTCGCCGGAAGTGTCGTAAACAGCCGACATCCGGCTCTTCCGGGCGCTAGGGGAGCTGACGGAGGAGGCCACCGCCCAGCCGAAGACGCGTCTCAGCCGGCGTAGTCGTGGTTCCCGCGGTGTGTGAGTGAGCCCGGGCCCGGTCCCCTCTCCCGCCGCCGCCATGGGCTGCACGTTGAGCGCCGAGGACAAGGCGGCGGTGGAACGGAGCAAGATGATTGACCGCAACTTGCGGGAGGACGGGGAGAAAGCGGCCAAAGAAGTGAAGCTGCTGCTTCTCGGTGAGGGGCTGGGGGCGGAGCTGGAGTGCTAGATCCCCGGGAGCCGGGCCCCGGGGGCAGGCTGAGCTGATGGGGGTCCGGCTAGGTCGGCGGGAAGGACCCCAAAGGGACCGGGAAGTGGGGGGAGGATGCCCGGCGTGGGGCGGGTTCTGGGCTTGGTGATCGAGGCCCCGGAAGGCGTGGGGATTTCAGGTTGGAGAGGGTGTAACCGGGCTGGCACGGTGCTTAGCAGAGCTTGGGAGTTTGGAGCTTTGAGGCTGTGTGGAGAATCCGGGAAAGGCCCATAAAGGGAGGGACCGGTATGAGGGAAGATTTCACACTGGGGTGGAACGTGTTGAGGAGGAGGATAGTGTATGTATGGTGTCAGGTGGGCCTGTCCGGGGTTTGTTGTGACTTTGATACTTGATGGCAGGGTAAAGCTGGGAGGATTGAGTGATTAGAGAAGCTAGGACAGAGGGGGTCACATAAAGAACCTGCTGTTTGGAAAAGAGAGCACATATTTTTTTTTTGTCCTGTTAGGTGGATTGTCCAGGCACGTAAAGGGGGAGGCGGGTGAAGAGAGAAGTTCTTAGGTATAAAAGAAAAGAACTTGGGTGCAAAGGCCGGCTATACTTTTTCAACTTTTCCTACCTATTTTTTTTTCCTCTTGAGGTTTTGTAACTCCTGTTTTTATTAAAGGGATAGGAATGGTGTAAGCTGAGAAAATTGAAAGAATGCAGTCTTTGAGGTTTGTGATAGAGGACTAGTGGGCAGTAGATTACAGTGGGAACGTTCTAGGAATGATGTGTGTTGGGAATTAGAACAGGATAATGTATGGAATGGGGCATATTTACTATAATGATTGTGGTAAGTTTGGGGGGGGGAGTTGTTTTTTATTGGGTTTTTAAAATAAAAATATTAGCTTCCAGACTACAGCATGCTGCTTTATACTCAAGTGGCTTTTACATATACTCAGACATGTTTTAGTCAGGATAATTTAGTTTTAAACCTTGATAAGTCCAGTAAATCACATAAAATTCTCTGGTATTAGCTTACCAATAAATCCAGCCACATTCATTATTCATATTTTTGAGGAATCTGTTAGATGAGACTATGTACAAGTCGCAGGTTCTGTCAGCAGCAGAACTTTTAGATAAATTGAGTTCTGAGGAGTCACAGTAGAGTACCAATTTCGCTTTGTGAAGCTCCAGAGGACAGACACAACCACCATAATCTCAGACTTACTTGGTGCTTTAAGATGTGGTGGGTGCTTGTTTATCTGTTGTGGAAGCTCTAAGTGACAGCTTGACTATAAAGAAAAAGAATTTGAGCTTCCAGAAGATAGGAAGTCAAATCATAGCTCTAGACAGCCAGTGTCTCCCTCAAGCTCATGGTGAACATTGGTTCATGGGGACCTTTCAGAAGTTTGATATAAAACACCACCCTTGCTAGTTTTCTCCCTTGCCTTAATTTTTGTGTTTTGAGACAATATTACTACGTCGCCTTGGTGGGCCTCCAGTTCTCCATCCTCCTGCATCAACTTCCCCAGTCCTGGGATTACAGCTTGTATCACTGTACCAGCGACATTAGCATTTTTCTCTTTTTCAAAAATGATTTATTTATTTTTATTTCATATGCATTGGTGTTTTGCCTGCATGTATGTCTGTATGAGGGCGTTATCCCCTGGAACTGGAGTTACAGACAGTTGTCAGCTGCCATGTGGGTGCTGGGAATTGAACCCAGGTCCTTTGGAAGAACAGTCAATGCTCTTAACCACTGAACCATCTCTCCAGCCCCCGATGTTAGCATTTTCTGTATTGATCTTAAAGATCTTCTGTGATTTGGTTGCTATTGACCATTGAAAAACTTGGGCAAGCAGAACTATCCAAGCATCTGTAAAAATCTTTATTCAGGGCCTTTAATTAAAACTATTAAACACATCATAGCTTAGAGAATTTGAAAAGTTTAAGTAACAGTCAAAGTACTGAAACATTTGTTTTTCATTTTTACCTTTTTATTTATTTATTTATTTAGCATGTTGTTTTATTTTGAGACAGAATCTTGGTCTCGACATTCATGAGATCCTGTAGCTGAGATGTGTACCACATCATGAAATTTATTTTTCTCTCAGGATTTTTTTTACAGCAGTATCTTGAGCAAATTAAACCAGTAAGTTGAAGTAGGTTGAGAAGCATCTGGTCTTAACCTGACTTGTGTCATAATACCTTGTGAGGTTAAAATGATCTTTCATGAGGCTGGAGAGATGGCTCAACAGTTAAGAACACTTGCTGTTCTTACAGAGGACCCAGATTAGGTCTCAGTACCCACATGGCAGCTCACAACTATCTGTAGGCATGTACATGGTACAGATACATACATGCAGATTAAACACTTAGACATAAAATTAACAAATCTAAAAACTTTAAAAAAGATCTTTCATGATATTTCTCTAAGTAAAATTTGCCTGTATTGTGTATAAAAAATCACCCTATATGGTAATCCATTTATCCCCCTTCCCCCAATTTTTGGGCTACAGAAAGTTTCCTTTGGTACATGTAAGCCATTTTTACTTCAACACTGTGAGACTATTCAATTTAGTTTAAATTGAAATCTACTTCTCTCCTGATTCGAATATTTTCTTTCTTATGTGGCTATGATTATGTGTAGTGATTACAGCATGGAATTTGAAGTCAGAATGCTTCAAATTCTAATTCATGTTTACTAGCTGTAACCTTAGGAAAGTATTTCCATTTGCCTCAGTCTCTTTACTTTTAACGTATGGAAAGTAGAGATCCTACTGGAGAGAATTGCTGGGAGGATTAAATATGATAATAATATAAATCCAAACATGTCCAGTGAATAGTAACTGTTTATTATTATTAAAATCAGGGTTACAGATTAAAAATACTATAAAAGTTTGAATTAATAAGTTAGTATAGGCTTCACTACTAACTGAAGGGAGACTTCAGAATTATAATTCCTCCTTTGGCTTGAATTTCCTTTAGATACTATTGGGAAGATCTTGTTATGCCAAATTGCTGTTTAACCAGAGTTTGCTACTGAATTGTATAAATATCCCCAACCAGTGTGTATAGGGTGGTGTGTAGGTGTGCTACTTGGAATTGTATGTTCAGATTTTAAGTCTTGTTTTGAGACAGGGACTTATTGTGTGTAGCTCAGATTAGTCTGTAACTCTCCTGTGTCAGCCTTCCAGCACACAGGATTGTAAGTATGTGGCCCACACCCAGCTCTGAAAGCATTTTACAGCGTCTACATTGACAGCAGCTGAAATAGTGTTTAGACCGTTTTTGGTGTGACTCTTTCTGTAAACTTCTTCAATTGGATCATTTGAAGAGAAAAATTATTTGCAAGGTTTATACTAGTTCATTATTTAATAACCTGTAATACTTTACATTTCATTTTCATGGCATAATCTTGTAATGTAAAGAAAGATATCTTCTACCAAAGCCTTCCAGTGTGTCACGATGTCTCAAAAGTTGGGAGGTGCTAGTGTAATGAGTGAAGACACTGCCTTTGGATTCCAACAAAACCAAATTAAGTTCTCACCTCCATCTACTGGTTTTGAAACTCAGAACAAATCACTTAACTATGTGAATTATATTCCCATATGTAAGTAGGGCTGATTCTTCCTGTTTCATAATATGAAATGACATAATGTACGTAGAATACTTTGTGTCAGATGATAAGAATCAGTAAATAGCAACCTCTGTTACAGTGCTGGTGAGAGCTATCATTTTAGTTTCTATTTTTGAGGGGTGTTTCAGACAGACACTGACATTCTTCATTTTAATATGCAAAGATCTTCAATTCCTAATCTTGTGCTGATAATAATTTATGGCAAACCTAAGTTGCATGCAGAGAATTATAATGCTGTATTTAAATTTTATATTACACAATTGGTTATTCATATTTAGTTTGCAAATTACTGATGGAATGTGGTTATTGAAAATAAGATTCTCCTTTGATTCCTCTGTAGGGTGGTAGTCATCATAATTTTTGCAACCCATTTAGGATAAGGTTTGTAGAAGCTAAATTTCTAGTGAGGACTTATCACACCTGGAGGGAAAAAAAAAGGAAATGAATAAAAAGTAGAGATAAGCATTGAAAAAAAAAGATTCTTTTTAATAATCTTATCTTTGTGTCTTTAAAAAAAATTTTTTAGAGCCAGGTGATGGTGGCACATACCTTTAATTCCAGTACTAAGGAGGCAGAGGCTGGTGGACCTCTGTGAGTTCGAGGTCAGCCTGACCTACAGAGCTAGTTCCAGGACAGCCAGGGCTACAAAGAGAAACCCTCTCTGGAAAACACAAAACAACAAAAATGTTTAGATTAATTTTTTCTGTGTCTGAGTGTTTTGCCTGCATGTAGGTAGGCGTTCCGCATGTGGGCCTCATGCCCACAGAGGTCAGAAGAGGGTTTCAGATTCCGTGGAATTGGAGTTAAGGATGGCTGTGAACCACTGTGTGGGTGCCGAGTCCTCTGCAGGAGCAACAGGTGCTCTTAACTGCTGAGCATTGTGTAGCCTCCTCTTTGCGTCTTATATATGAGTGTACCGTCACTTTTGCAGCGTGAAAGTACAGCACCTTTCTGTATCCTGTCGTGATTTTCTCTGGCTGCACTGTTGAGACAGTGATAAATATGGGGTAGGTGTTCAGTACTCAGAAGATTTGCAGGGCATGTGACTTCTGAATTTACATAGGCTGGGACTATGCTTTTCAAAACAGTTTCAGCCGATTACACTTATAAAACAGTCTTTTAGTTTGGGGGCTGTTGTTTCTGTTGAGAATGGTTCTTGATGGAGAGATCTGTTTCAGAGGTTAGTGAAAGAAGTTCCGCTCTCACTGACATCGAGAAGTGGATATGCTCTGTCCCTGTCTTTTTGAAACCTTTGCTGTTTTGATGTCATCCTTAATGAACGCGCGCACGCACACACACACAGGTGTACACACACACACAGGTGTACACACACACACACACACACAGGTGTACACACACACACA